TGTGACCTCAGTGACATCAGCCGAAACAGAATTTTGTTTTATAGGTTGAGCGAGATGCATTTTTTAAAAGACTAAAAAGGACAATCTTGTTTTATTCTTTGAACTGTGTGCAATGATTTAACTGATTTACACAATTAAATGGCTAGAAATTCAGCTACAGCAGCCACAACAAAATCAAACGTTGTTGTAAATAAAAGGTTGAAAATATCCTTCAGTGAAGACGACAAACCATGCATGAGAACAAACAGTTCACAGAGAGCTAACAAAGTGTACAGTTGCTAGACTAGTTCATTCGTTGCAGAGTGAAGCAACAACTGTCAGGAAACCAGCTGAACCAGTTAAACTGGTCCCTATTCACTCAGCAGTTGGCAGCTTTAATCCACAGTAACGTTCATGAAATCAGTCCTCAAAAACCAACAAATGAAGATTTAATCTAAAAGATCATAAAAGTCTAACAATTCCAGGAGGTGGAAGCACTAAATTTTTGTCTTAGGGCTTGAAGACTTTTAAAAATAAATATGCTAAAACAAATAAGCCTAGTAGCAATACATATATGCCCAGTGTGCTACTCTTTACCCATTAAGCTTCCAGTAGTTTTGTCACACAGCTGGATAACTCCCATGCAGGTCAGGTAGTGATTTGGAGGGGTTTTACCTTCGGTGTCGGCCAGGCTAAAGTAAGCAATAGGGGCTAATCTGCCGTGAGAGCGGAGCATGAGGGAGATGTTGATGGTAGAAGGGGTCAATCGTGGGCTACATTATTGCCTTTCCTGCAGGCAACCATGGGGAATCCTTGGATTGAATAAAATCTCGGCCAATCTCAGTCACTGGCTACGTAAGAGAAATAAATAAATAGAGGAGATCACATCCTGAGGGCATCCCCCACTGGCAGAGACGAAACGATCTCATTTCTCTCTCCTTCAAGCTCTATAAGGCACTATCTCTCACTCTCTCATTAATTATCTCAGGTTATTTACAAATTTTAGACACACTGTTGCTCTGAATGAGCTATTTGTATCAACTAACCTTATATGCAAATACACGCATGTGTAATATGCTGCATGTTTTTAATAGTGACAGTGACGTGCCAACCTGACCTGATTTCCAAAAGCAACTAATCTTGCATTGCCAACTTTTGGCGTCCACGCTTACGACTGCAACCTTGTAACCAACATGTGGCATGAAATAATGTTTATGCTGGATGAATTAAAATCAATATCACACAATAACGCTCAGTTCTGAAACGAAACAAAGTTCTTTCAAAGAATGATGCACAAGGCACAATACTAAGGATTTCTTCGGTTTGCCTCCAATTTTTACTTGCCCGGCCAAAATATTCACCGGCCCCATCAAAAAATACGAATTGTTGTTTTGACCCATGTAACGTATTCTAATAAATAATCCACCAAAATTGTTGATACCAGTGAAATTTCACAATTTTCCAAATAAATTTTGATACCACAGCAAAAACGAATATAAACGTCAACCATTATTGAAGACTAGGGTTGGGTATCGTTTGAATTTGAACGATTCCGATTCCGATTCCGATCCTTGTTTCGATTCCGGTTCCTAACGATTCTCGATTCCGATTCTTTTAAAAGGCAGGGTCAAAAAGGTTTAGCTAACCTTGCGAACCAAGGAAATACTCCTTCTGTAAAAATACTCCTTTTGTCACAAATGTTGCATTTTGTCGAGATTTCGTTATTTTTAGAAAAGTGAAGCCACACTTTGGATCGCCGACGTAAGGTACTCATGTTCGACTCGCGTGGTTATGCCAACACTTCCGGTAGACGCTTCTTCGTTGGTGTTGTTCAGCGGTTTCTTCTTCCGCTCGGCGGACTGTGAATATCGAAACATTTTATTTATTTTTATTTTTTTGTGAATATCAAAACTAGGAATCGAAATTTTTACTTTTGAACGATTCCGGGAAAAACGAAAAGTTAGTCCCGGTTCCAATCGATACTCGATTCTCGATACCCAACCCTATTGAAGACAAGTGAATGGTCGATAATAAAATGAGAAAAAAGTGAATATACAAAAGAACAAGAACAAAAGATGCAAATTAAACAGTGCTTTAAGTTTTTCAGGTAGGTCTCACTGTAGTACTAAGTATTAAGTGCAGAAAAATCAAACAAACGTAAAATAACACTGCATGGTCTTCACTGTATAAATCAAATATAGATAAACACGTTAAAGCTATAAGTCTAGATGAGTCTTTTTCTTTGTCTTTATCTATTTCTGTCACTTTAAGAGCCAAAGCATGCGTTTAGTTTCTCACCTGTTTAACGTTAAGACATTAAAGGGGCACTTGACAACTATTTCAACTTAAAACCATTTAGAAATCACTTGAATAGTTTAATAACCTGTTCCTGAGAAAGGTGGAAAACCAACCTTGCAACATGGGGACTAACGGTGCGTTTTATAATAGCCAACGAACCGACTCGGCCCTCGGATTTGACATCACGTCCGCACTTCAAGCGTTCTATTATGTTTTGCGTGTCCGAGTCGGAGAAAAGAATGGACGCCACCCGGAAAGCTGTTGTAATGGTAGCACTGGCCGAGCACCAGACACTTGCATTAAAAAAAATGACAACACCTTATCAAAACGCTGCCACTTGAACTTGAAAATGTTCACTTTATTTCATGTTTTTCATGTTAATATTCTGTTAGCAATGCTAGCAACGTTAGTAATTGCACTCACAACAACTGATTCCCATACCTACAGGGGACGCAGTAATACACAAGTGATTATAATCGTCATTTAAAATACCAAAGCGGTTCAAAAACAAATGAAAACAATTCAAGTCACAGGGGCAGCCATCTTGAATTCCGAAACGGAATTCTTGCTCGGTGTCCTCACGGACGTCCGAGAGGAGAAACTCGAGGAAAGGGGGCGTGTTGCTAGGCAACGTCTGTCGTCCGATTTGGATCTCCGAGACGGAAGAATAATAGTACGCACCATTACATCCCGGTAAGTTGAAAATAAGTCTCGTGAGAAGTGAGAACAAGTGAGAAACATGAATTGCTTTACGCCAATTCGATATAATTCTATGATACTGTGCATGATGTATTATCCACGGTAGACAAGAAAAATTGGCCGGTTCCGATAATAACAAATGCATGTGAGCAGCGGTAGATTGTGGAGGAAGTGAGGTTTTTTTTTTTTTTTTAATTAGAGTGTTGTGAAAATATACGCCGCACACCTGTGGGGGGCGCTCAATGAGAAAACATACGACAATAAACGTGAAAATCAGCGAAGAAATTACTAGAGTTTCCAAGTTCACCTTTAAGATGATGTCGTTAAAGACTGTTCACGAGAATCCTCGGCAAAATTGACATCAAGGCAAAAACAAGACGATGCAAAAAAAACTCAATTCCGTACTCTAGCAACCACACCGAGAACTGTCGGGCTCTCTATGCGAGCGCACAGAAACCAGCACGCAAGTACCGAATTGAGTTCTCTTTTGTGATTGAATAACTTAAAATAGATTGAGCATTTCAATTGACAAAAAAAACACATGCAAAAAAAAAAAAACTTTCTTCATGACGCAGCACTGGTCCGATCGAGGCAATTCCGTCAACTGTCCCGAGCATCTTTCACAATGGTTTGATAAAGTCCTTATTGCCGACCCCTGCTGCAATCGTTTTCATGCAAGGCTGTACAGAACACCACCGGAGAATTTAGCAGCATAGACTTAATGTTCAGAATTTCTACCCATCCAAAAGTAACAAGTATATCAGAGATGTGGCCTAGCAGTTGACCCCAGTTCAAAATCTGGTCATTTCCCGATTCTGGCAGGAGTGTCCAACACTACTCCTGGAAGGCCAATGCCTTTAGCTCCAACCTGCTCTGAATCAATGCACTTGCCTGGAGGGTTTAAGCAATCCCAAATATCTTGATTAGTTGGTTCATGCGTGTTTAAACTGCGCAGGATGGAGCAGGACACGACACCCATGACTTAGGTACACAATATTTATCACAGGAGGCCTCACAACTCACAAATGTTGCCAGCAGCAACCACATAAACTACCTTATAGCCATGAAGCTAGCCCCTGCACAGTACTGGCTAAGACTACTGTCTTCCAGCCAATCACTATCCCAACAAGAAAGACATTCTGAACAAGTTTCTATTGAGAATGGGGAGTTGACGTCATTTTACAGTGCCCCTCCCCTTTCCGCCATGTTGGTAGGATTCCCACGACAAAACAGTATTGATTACGTGTCTTTTTAGCTCGGTAGTTAGGGTTGGGTATCGAGAATCGAGTATCGATTGGAACCGAGACTAACTTTTCGTTTTTCCCAGAATCGTTCAAAAGTTAAAATTTCGATTCCTAGTTTCGATAGTCGCAGTCCGCCGAGCGGAAGAAGAAACCACTGAACAACACCAACGAAGAAGCGTCTACCGGAAGTGATGGCATAACCACGCGAGTCGAACATGAATAGCTTACGTCGGCAGTCCAAAGTGTGGCTTCACTTTTCTAAAAATAACGAAATCAACAAAAGGAGTATTTTTACAGAAGGAGTATTTCCTTCAGAAAGGCCATTGGTTAGCAAGGTTAGCTAAACTTTTTTTGACCCTGCCTCTTAAAAGAATCGAGAATCGTTAGAAACCGGAATCGAAACAAGGACTCGGGAATCGTTAGAAACCGGAATCGAAACAAGGAATCGGAATCAGAATCGTTCAAATTCAAACGATACCCAACCCTATCGGTAGTAGAGGAGTTTCTCGCAATACCGCACTGTTTTACCATGCCTGGAAGTACTGCTGCGTTAAAAACCGATAAAAACCCTGGTAACCGATAGCGTCTCCTACCATCATGGCCGACCGGCTCAGACCCCGCCCAAATAGGCACGTGACTCCTCATTCTCAATACATTAAGGCCCAAAAGCATAAGCTAGTGGCGTTATAAAAAACCGAGTAACCAAAGCAGTTGCATAGACAATGCAAGAGACTAATGAAAACGAAAGCTAGCAAGGCATTACGATATTATGGTACTCACAGGCAGACTGGAAGGTCGTCCCTGCATGGTCTCCTCTGGACCACTCTTGCCAGACACCATGGGCTGATTGGAGGAAGGAGCTGAAGATTGAGAGCTGAAGGAGTCTTGTGAAAGCTCCTGAGGAACAAAATGTAGAAGCACTTGCGTAAGGATAGGGTTCATCGAAGCACCTCCAAGTATATAACCGGTCAGATTTAGTTGTTTTTACCTGAGGTGGCGGAGGAAAGCGCTGGAAGGGCGACTGTTGTTGCTGAGACTGCAGCGGAGGGGTCTGGGAGTAAGGTGAGGGCTGACCCTGTCCTGAAGGTTGCTGGGATGACTGAGGTGGCACTGAGCTGGGCGGCTGTGATTGTGGCGGGCCCTGCTGTTGTTGTTGTTGTTGTTGTTGTTGTGAAGGTCCCTGCTGCTGAGGAGCCGGACCCGGACCGGAGGGTGGTTGAGAGTATCCAGGCTGCGACTGAGAACCTTGCTGGCCCTGAGAAGGACCCTGTGACTGAGGGGGACCCTGGGACTGGGGGTAGGAAGGCTGTCCTGACTGTGACTGCGGAGTCTGGGAATATGGAGGTTGGCCCTGAGGTTGCCCGTAAGAGGGCCCACTCTGGCCATGGGGAGGACCAGGGGATTGCTGGGAATAAGGGGGCTGAGAGCCTGGAGCCGTGGAGGGCTGCTGGGGGTATGGAGACTGCTGGGGTCCTCCGTGAGGTGAAGGGCCCTGTTGTCCGTAGTAGCCACCTTGGTTCTGACCATAACTACCTGGGCCATGCTGTCCATAGCTCATCTAAAGAGAACACAATAAGAACCAAGGACTCCAATTAGCAAGCAAACATCAATTTAGCAATTTAAAACTATAAACTAGGGACATGATATATCTGTGACCATCTGTAACTGGCACGCACACTTGAGCAGGTTTTTGCTACTAATTTGATTTGAGTCCGATTCATAAACTATAAATTATATTTTAACGAGACTAAGATATTCCCTTTTCACATTGCAATGAATTGGCTTTAGCAATAGATCTTTTCGGTTCCCACACCTTGGTTAACTTCAAATTCAAGGACTTTCAAGGTCCAAACCCCTTAAATTCAAGGAAACAACAAATAAATAAATGTTTTTCCTTAAAATACAGGGTGCATAAGTCAGGATGTTAAATTGTAATATGTTAAATTCCCGTAGAGTCAGGCAGATTTTTATTTTTAAAAGCCAGTTATTTCATGGATCCAGGATAATATGCATCCTGATAAAGTTCCCTTGGCCTTTGGGATTAAAATATCCCCACATCATCACACACCATTCACCACACCTAGAGATTGGTATGGTTTTATTTCAGTTAGCCTAATAGCTGGTTTGATTTGCATTGAAAGATGATTTTATGGAAAGTACCCCATGTCAATCTCTAGGTGTGGTGAATGGTGTGTGATGATGGTGTGTGATGATGTGGGGATATTTTAATCCCAAAGGCCAAGGGAACTTTATCAGGATGCATATTATCCTGGATCCATGAAATAACTGGCTTTTAAAAATAAAAATCTGCCTGACTCTATGGGAATTTAACATAGGGGTGCCCTGACTTATGCACCCTGTATTTTAAGGAAAAACATTTATTTATTTATGATAAATTATTCATTCACAAAGAAAATTTGTGTCCTTAAAGGTTGGAGTTTTCCTCATTTTTCTAATTAAGGCATTAAGATCAATATCCAAAAGATGATTTTTTATTCCTCTTTTTAGGCAACTTTAACATGGGTGTCCAAACTTATTCATATCACTGTATGTTTATTTTCAAAAAAAAAAAAAATTCTGAATCACAAACTTAAGGATTTCGAGGACCCGTGGGAACCCTGTGTGAAGTACATTCAAGTTGATTGGATTAGACATGTAGGCTTGGCACTCAAAAGTGAACCTGAGCTTGCAGTCAATTGTGGGGAGGGGCGGAGCTTAAACAGACTAAATTGAAGTACTGCATACATAAAGACAATCCCAACAGTGCACTGTGTTCTTATAAATATTTTCACTTGGGCTGGGCTTTATCGGTTAACTCGAATGTGTAGTTTACGTCAATTTCTTTGAATGAAAATCGGTTTTCTCTTTAACATCCATAGAGATTCACAAACAAAAACCACCAAAAATATTTACAAACTGAATCTGCAGGACCCTGTGACTGAGGGTCTCTTAATCTCTAAAAATCTCCAAATGCTCCACGTGAAAGTGTGGTCTTCCGACCTTTTACTATCATGTCAATCAATTTGATTAATATGCATGAGCGAGACAGCGCTCGTGTCGTTTGAAGACGTGAGAATACGCACCTATATCATTAAAATATTATAAAGTTGTTATTATAAAAACGCATTAGATGTAATTTGAGATGTTATTTTGAACCTTTAATAATACCAGCTGACAGAGCTCTGTATGTTTACAGTATTAGGCAAGACTCTTTTTTTTTTTTTTGGATAACAATTAACATATCTACTGTACCTAATATTTAATAAAACTTAAAATTCTGTTTAGTTACCAAATGTTGTACACTTATTGCGGTGCAAGTTTTATTTTATTTAATTTTTTTACATCTCAATCCACCCATTTTATGTTATGGGGATCGATTTTAATCAGAAATTGATCGGGGGTTTTTTTTTAGGCCATGCCATATCGCCCAGCCCGAAAACTTCTGATTGAAGTGCTCTTCACTCATGGGCATGTGGGCAGAAGGCCAGTGAGAAGGGAGTGAGGAGGTGGCAGGGAGGAAAGTATACCACAAGAGGAACTGCTTGGAAAACGTTACCCGGTAAGACAGTGTTTACATTCAGTGAGAGGGGTCAACCGACACTCGATTTAGAGCCAGCGTAACCCCTAAATAAAACTGAAACAGATGAGTGGTGGGGTGGACTGTGTGTGTGTCTGCAAACAAGTTCGTCTGTAACCTACAAAACAGCACACTTGCTACAAATAAACATTCACCAGCTACTTGGCTTCCAATAATAATAATAAATAATAATAAGAAGCCCTAGTGGAAATTTATTCAAAAACAAAAGCCAAACCAAAAACTGTATGAATTCATAACATTACTCATTCAGATTCTTATAAGATGTGTGTAATGGTATAAGCACTAGAGCCCGGCCGATAAAGAATTTAAGGCCGATACGATACAAATATTTTTGGGGTTTAAAATCCGATATATCGGACGATATTTTATTTATTAAGTATTGTTGGATTTCACACACACACACGTGTAAAAGAAAAGCTAACTTTTCTGCACAAGATACGATACTTTCTCTATGTCTAAATGTTCACTCCTCGCAACTTTAACTTACATTTTACAATGCAGGGACTGAAACTAGAGATATGCGAGTTATAAATACAGTAATCATTACTTTATTTAGGCAGAAAAAGTTCATCGTGGTTTCCAAGCTCATTAATGTTAACGTTAGCGGTCTTCCACTGATTATAGTGGCATTAGCTATCTTTGTGGTTAGCTAGTCTATGATGAGCCATAATTTAGCAATAGATATCCTACTGCAAATTGTAAAACATACATTTTCAATATAACAGGCCAAGGAGAGATGATTGAAGCGTGTTTCGTCCATTTTTATTTTATTTTTTAAATATTCATTTATCGGCCATTATAACTGCCGATACCGATATTATGGAAAATGCCTAATATCGGCCGATATATCGGTCTGGCTCTAATAAGCACCAAATTATTTTAAGTGCCACAAAAAATAAACATTTTTTAATTTTGTTGTGTCTGCCCTTCTTTTACAGCGTCAACATTTTCATCCATCTTACGGATGTCCTGGGAACTAAAATTCACTTTTTTCTTAGGAAAACAGTTACAGTTACTTACAAATTGTTCTTTACACAGAATACATCTTATAAACTTTGCCGTATGTCTTGCACACACACCCAATCTATTTTTCTTCATGAGTATCTGAGGTAAATTTGGTGAAAGGCAGCTCTTCATATGCAATTACATGGACATTGTTGAATTTCATGTTTAGCTCCTTCTATTCGGTTAAGTAAAAATATGAAGATTAAGTTATCATATTGTAATATGCCCCTTTTTTTAGTTATTTTTCTAGCTGACTAACAAGTGTAAGAGCACTGAATGGCTTTTCTAAGCCTGAGGTAAATTTGACGGAACGTGACATGATTTATGTGGCACTTTATGTGGATCTGTCAGGCCACATAAAGTGGCAAAATGACATTTAGTGCTTGTATTTCGCAATAAAATTGACAGAATTTAAGAGCGGAAAGTTTGACTTAAAAAGGTGACTTAAAGGATTAGTTCACTTTTGAAAAAACTTTTGCTGATAATTTACTCACCCCCATGTCATCCAAGATGTCCATGTCTTTCTTTCCTCGGTCGAAAAGAAATTTAGGTTTTTGATGAAAACATTCCAGGATTTTTCTCCATATAATGGACTTCAATGGGAACCAAACGGTCCGAGGTCCAAAAGACAGTTAATAACAGTTTCAGATGCAGCTTCGAATGTCTTTAAACGACACCAGACGATGAATAAGGGTCTTATCATGCGAAACGAGCGGTTATTTCAAAACTGTAACTTTTCTAAGGACAAATGCTAGCCTTGCTCTATTCTGTGAGGCGCGTTTGTAACGTCACGTAATACGTAATTACGTTTAAAAGGTCACGGGCGACGTAGCCGGAAGTACAGAATCAAAATCGTCCGACATCGTTGTTTTACCTTTTAATTCCTTTTTTTGTAAACGGCGTTTGAGTTAGTTTGCACGTTCAACCTATGCGTTCAACTTGTAAACACTGACTCTGTACTTCCGGCTACGTCGCCCGTGACCTTTTGAACGTTATTACGTATTACGTGACGTTACAAACGCGCCTCACAGAATAGAGCAAGGCTAGCATTTGTCCTTAGAAAAGTTACATTTTTGGAATAAGCTTTGAAATAACCGATCGTTTCGCATTGATAAGACCCTTATTCATCGTCTGGTGTCGTTTAGAGACATTTGAACAGTTTGCACTGAAACTGAAACTGTCTTTTGGACCTTGGACCATCTGGTTCCCATTGAAGTCCATTATATGGTGAAAAATCCTGGAATGTTTTCATCAAAAACCTCAATTTCTTTTCGACTGAGGAAAGAATGACATGGACATCTTGGATGACACGGGGGTGAGTAAATTATCAGCAAAAGTTTTTTCAAAAGTGAAATCCTTTAAGTGCAAAACTGCAAATCTTACTGCGATTATGTGACAAATAATGTGAAGTTCAGGCAGTAACAGAAAACGGCAAAGATAAAAAGATATTGAGAATAAGAATCCGTAAGCTAGAATTGTTAACGATTAGTTTGCGATCTCAGCAAAAATATCACTTACAAATTAATATTTGTAGTCGCTGTCTAGAGCCCTAAATTATCAGAATCAACTTTGCAAGCAACTGTGCAAAATAGCAGTTAATGTGAGATCAAAATGCCCACAATAACAGCAAAAATACATTTTAGGGTTCACCAAGACTGAGGTCAGTGTTTTCTACAGAGCTCTTATCCATTTGAACGACCAGGGCATAGATAGGCTTTCAGAGAAATGCTTGAATTTCATTACTTTCAGTCAGCCTACAAAGAAATTTGACCTTGCTGCTGAATGTACTGTGTGACAAAAGCCTGATGGTGACAAGCTGGGCACCTTCTCTCTCAAGGAAAAAAGGAAATATAAAAATGGGGAAGAAAAACAGCTCTGACAGGAAGGTTTAATAAAAACAACCTGAAGAGCATGCTCTACGCCGGTCTACAAATGGATGGCACTCCAGTGCATCTGCTTACTCAACACAAGCACAATGGGGCACCTAGCACAAGTGCACAGGCAACGAGATGAAGAAAGGCAGACACTTGAAGACCGCCACATACAAAAATACAGCGGTGCGAGGAAATCCCCATGTGACAAACCCGAGCCTCGCTGTGACCTCATAACAACCTTCTTTGAAAGTGTGGATAAAAAAAAGACTCATGAGCTCATGCTGCTATGATCAAGAACGTCTTAAGACTGTCAGAAGCCTTCGGGTTCAAGCGGAGACACTGGAAATAAATATGGCAGCAGGTAGGGGTGGTTAATCTGTCTGATTTCCCGATTCGATTCGATTACGATTATTGAAGTCCCGATTCGATTACAGTCGATTTTCGATTATTAACGATTCTCGATTACCGATTATTGATTTTCCATTTCACAACAGTAAACGAAAATACACTAGATCAACATATGATTATATTAGCAGCGGCAACATTTTGGTATTAATTGCACTTTTTATTTGTTTGATATTCATTGAAAATATAATGATGGTTAGTGGGGACATGCAAACATGCTTGTTATCTACTACTTAGGCAACTCATTATCTTTACATTTATTAACTTTAAATTTTTTTTCAAAAGCAATTTTGTTACATTATAATGCAAATGCACCTGGTTCTATTAATTGACAGCATTAAAATGTATTTTGTGATTTCCCTCAATTGAAAATATTTGAAGCAAGTTTGGGGGACTTGAAGGGCATCCGATTCAGAGAATCACCTAGAAATTCAAAAGAACAGCATTTATCTGAAATAGAAAGCTTTTGTAACATTAAACAATACCGTTCAAATGTTTGGAGTCGGTACGAATTTTTATTTAATTTTTTGGGCAAAAGAAAAAAGAAATCTATACTTTTATTCATCAAGGATAAATTAAGTTGATCAAAAGTTAAAGTACAAGAGATTTATAATGTTACAAATCGATTATCTGAATCTTTTGTGTGCGACTATAAATAATTTGCTTTAAAAGTACAAATTAATGACCTATAAAGAATTAATGCACAATATATTTTATTAACATTACAAAGAACGACCAGGAAAATAAATGTGTGCTTGAACTAGGAGCATACTTGTAGTAAATAAATAATATAACGACTGGTGCAGCCGAGTGTTTTTCCTCCTCTGGCTGGAAAGGTGTCATATGGCTTATCATATTTGTCGTGTTTTATTCCACAAAGCGTACAACTAGTGCGGCTCTTGTCCAGCTCCTTTCCCCCTTCAACTTCAGAAGCCAAAATATTTCCACACGTCAGCTTTTAACCTAACAAGGAAAGTGTTTGGATCTCGCGTGCCATCTCATCTCTGTTATGTGCACGCCACAGACGGTCCCGCCACTGCACTTCCGCGCTTCAGAGTTCCGTCTTTCGCGTTCCGTCAATATTACGTTATTATAAATACATATCAAATTTTTTTTTTTTTGAAATCGATTTTTTGACATTTGTGAATCGATTCAGAATCGTCCACGTCCGCATCGCGATGCATCGAGAATCGATTTTTTTCCCCACCCCTAGCAGCAGGCTTGGATGTCTTTTACCCCTTTTCCACCGAAAAAAAGAACTGGTTCGGAACTGGTGCTGGTTCAAAGTTGGTTCAACTTGCGAACCCGTTCAGAACCTGTTTGTTTTTCCACTGACTAGAGCGCCCAGGGAACGACGTCGTTACGTCACTGTGTACGTCGCCATACGTCTTAGCTAGAAACGCTTGCAAGTACATTACTTTGGGATTATCTCTAACTCGTGTACCAAGAAAACTTTAAAAAAAAAACAAAAAATATGCAAGTCTTTTAATCTTTTCGTTTGATATGTATTTTTTTCTGATAAGTTATGTACCCCTGTCTTGTGTCATTTTTCTTTCCATTTATTTGTTCTATATCGTGACTGTTTTCTTCTTTGCTAATGTTTAAAATAAAATAAATAAATAAATAAAAACGCTTGCGTGTCTCTGCTTTGCGATGGTCAGAAAATATGTTTAGGACACATCTAAACCCGCCCCAGTCCCCGACATAAGCATGACGTGCTAAAAGAACGGTTAAAGTCCAGCAAAGAGTTGGTGCCGCTTTGGAACCAGTTTTCCCGGCCGAGAACCGTTTCTTTGGCTGTCGAAACACAAGGAACTGGTTCGCGCGCAGGCTCCGAACCGGCTCTCAAAATGCTTTAATGGAAAAGGGGCTTATTGGGGCTGGGTATTGACACAAATTTCACAAGATGACAGATGATTTGCAGTTACGTACTCATCACGTTATCAAAGAGCGCTTGAGTTGAACTGGTTTCCCTGGACAATAGAAATGCATAGATTCAGCTATCACGTCTGTTGTAAGATCGAATTAATTTTAAAGGACGAACAGAGAACTGCAGTCAAGGCATTTGTCGATCGGAAAAATCTGTTTGCCGTCCTTCTAACGGGATTCGGCAAAAGTTTAATTTATCAGCTGATGCGACGCAATGAAAACTTAGTGGTCGTTGTGGTTTCTACACTCCAAAAGAAGCAACACTCTCAATATACACCACTTACTGCACAGCACTCGATTGGATAGATCTACAACCAATCAGAGCACAGTTTTTAGTTTTTTTCCCCTGGTTCGGTTAAGACACGCCTCATAATCAAAGCCCTATGGAGCCGTGTCGGACTCACATTCTGAACCGGAATACCAGTATGACGAAATCAGGCGATTGTTTTGCATCAAAATGACACAAAACACCACAACATGAACATTAATCTGACCTGTTGTCCGTATTGCATTCCGCTCATGCTCCCAGGAGTGCGGCCCTGCATGCCCATAGGATATCTCTGGGGTCCCGGGGGTCCATAACCTTGTCCTGGGTAAGGAGGACCCTGTTGGGCGCTCGGGGAAGGTCCCTGCTGCTGAGAGTAGGGGTTTCCTGCACCGTAGTGTTGCCCTCGATTTTTACCCACCTGCTCCATGGGGACGGGAGGCTGAAAAAAACAAAAAGAATAAAGGGTAAGTGCTAATAATTCTAGGGCTGGCAACTTTAGTCGACTAATCAGTCGATGCCGTCTTATTCGCCGACCAGTCGCTTTTTTTTTTGTTAGCAATAGAAATTCATTTTCAATGATTTACTCCTTGATATTTATTACTTTATAAGCAGTTATTTATTACTGTATTCTAAATATAATTAGCCTATGTTTTATCCCCAACTTTAAATGATTTATTTAGGTTATTTTTTGTAACTGCGCCACTGTTTAGCGCACACACATAATACACTCGGGAACCGCACCTTGGGAACCGCACCAAATTCCGTTGTATTTTTTCCCAAATTCCGTTTGTTTTTTTCCGTTTTATTTTTTGCAAATTCCGTTTTTGCCGTTTAAATTTTTGCAAATTCCGTTTTTTTTACCCTTTACTGTTATTTTAGTTGTAAAAAGAGCTTTTAATGTTACTTTTAATGTTAATGATTAAAATGTACACAAATAAAATAGACATTTACTCTTAAAATGACAAATACTGCATGATGCAACATAACACTGCACTCTAAGTACTTCAAGTAACTACAAAATATGGTTATGAGCTTTAAACTTTCCGGTAAAATAAATTATATTAGTTTATATAAGTTAAAATAAAAATCACACTCTTGCTGCGTCGTAATGTGCATACTATCCATCCTAAATAGTATGTGACATTACTGTCAATACTATTTCGGGCATAGTACGCACATTGGGACGCAGCTTCTGTCGAGCGCTCTCTCGGACAAACCGGTCTCTCTCGCGCGCACTCGACTCGGGCACACACTCGGCCCGGCACCTCATAGACAGACGTGCACGGAAGGGACTTTGAGTGTGTGTGCGTATGTGCGACGAGTTTCTTAACTTTTTCGCCGACGAAAGCAGAGCCGTCATGAGCTGAAATGACGGGAGGGGTTGTGTCGCCCAGATTTGCTTCCCCCGTCTCTCTGCATTTTCCCCAGACATACGTTCTTCTCCCACACAAAAAAACGAATTTCATTCCAAATATGTAAAATTCCACAAAATTTCGCATTAACACTAGATTCCGCGTCAATTGGCCAATTCCGCGATTCCGTGATCGCGGAAATTATAGGGCCCTAGGTAGGTAGTTTTGCTGTATTCATTCAGTTCACGCTACTTTTTCAGTCGGCAAGATGTCCAAGAAATCCAAATCTTTTGTCCTTTTGCAGTAAAAAAAAAAAATCACTTAATTTTCAAATAACTTCATTATTATTATAGCTTTATTTATTTTTTATGTTTTTTCATTGTTGTTTTATAAATGCTCTGACAATTGTCTAAAAAATGTTCAATCAAAACATCCGGGGTTTTTTTTAGTCGACTAATCGTTGCACAGGACAAGACCTTGGTCGACTAAGGATTTCTTTGGTTGAATACAGCCCTACATAATTCGGCTGCAGAGTTCAAAATACAGGAAGTGAAATTATTGTGGTACGATTCAGCTTCCTTACACCATTGATCCAGCTGCACGCCAAGCATTTGGATCATTAATATTTTGAAAGCATTCACTGGTTAAAATGAAGTCAATTGTTATTGTTTTCATTCTTAACAGTGGAAACGAGCCTCTCTGATATTGATCATAATGTCACAACAGTATTAGTCAGATCATGGCAAAAGCACACCACACAAAATCAAAAATAGATCTGTACGCTTCAAAAACAGTGCCAGTGAAGGGAGTGGAAATGGCCGTGGAGTGAATGAGAGAATGAGAGCAGCGGTTGTATCTGGCAGGCCGGGGACTGGATGAACACTGAACTTCCCTTTGAAAACAGACAAGAGGAAACAAATGAGTAGGATGACCCGAACACAAGCTCACAGGACAGAGAGAGATTGGAATAAAGTCACTGGTACTACAAGAATACAGTGCTTGGGAATTAGGGAAAGACGACTGGGACCCTTCTCCTCCGAGGCAGACACTGAGATCAACTGAAATTGGTGAAGAACTGCCTAATTGTAAAAAGGCAGCACTTGCTTTCAAGTGTTCTCAAATTGTTTTATTAAGATTGAACTGAATAGTAATTTAACATCTGAATCAGAACTCATGTTAAGGACGTGACAATCCCACGCCAAAGAACGAAAGCCGGCTGGGTCGTCGCGGCGGCTGCGTCTAGGCCTAAAAAACACAAACTATGCTTGAACACACCGCAGAAACGAGCCAGAATAGGCATTCCCGCACCTGCAGCGGGTATCATATATTCATCAATCAAAAAGGGAAACCAAAACTAGCACTAGAGTAGATATAGAAAAATACAAACCAGCACTTGCCTGCCTTTATAATTGTCAATTACTTTCTACATTCCAGGCAGCTCGTAATGAAAAGATTACAATTATTTGAATGCTCAGGCAATATTACGTAAATTTAGAACCGCTTTCTGTCTGTGCAGTCTTGAACTCTCTGATCGCTTTCATCACTTTTGCTTTTATTCTCCTGCATTGACTCACTAAACTGAATCAGAGCAACCTCTCTCACTGACCCGACAAAGATTCAACATGCTGAACCGGGCAAACAATGCCGACCTGTGCCTAACAGAAACTCACTGATGAATGAAACATGAGACAAACATACACGTGTGCTCATATATATATATATATATATATATATATATATATTAGGGCTGTGCAAAAATTAATTGCAATAATTTGAATCATAATCTACTGTGTATCCTATCTATCTACCTATCTATCTAAGATAAGACCCTTATTCATCGTCTGGAATCATTTAAAACCCTTTGAACGGTTTGCAGTTTGTACTGAAACTGGAAATGAATGGGAAATTGGCAAAAATCTGAGTTTTTATGTGCGTACAATCTACAAATCAGCAACGATCTTGAAAAAAAGCACACAACAGTGAAGGGGTGAATCTATAAAACATCAAGAGTGCAAAACAGACACACACACACACACCTTTATACACAAACACACCAAAAAAATTCAGATTATACATGTGTTTTGCATTTTTAAAAAGCTCAGTTTGTCCACAAGATGGCATCCATCTAATTTCAAAAAAAGCTTTTAAGAGGCCTAGGCTTGACTCCAAAATGAAATACAGCTTTAAAAAAAAATTTTTTTTTTTTATTATATTCAATGGGGGAAAATTTGGTCATAATTATTGCATTAATACTAATTATAATTTTTGTATTTTTGAAATTCTCAAAACACCAAAAAAGAAAAAATATTATAAAAACAAGTTAAAAAAAATATATGATTTTTGACAATTTTGACCCGAAGTTCCCGAGTGTGACTGTTAAACGAAGAACCCCAGACGGTTAAAATAGTATAGTATGCGTCAGGACAAACAAGGGACTCAAGAACAACCACCACAATACAAAAATCCAGGATCATCCAGGTTAAAACACACAGTATTAAGAATCAAGAGTACATAAACTTTTGAACGGCGTCAATTTAGAAATTCAGCTATACTTTGTCTTTGACTATACTTTTCCAAGATCACTAGGACCAGGCCGGGCAGGACAGTTGAAGTGGTAACAGCTGTGACAACAGCAAATATTGAATCTGCACTGCTCCTCCAGCAGCTGTAATAAGGCTCTCTGGATATCAGAGTAGTGCTGGAGACTGGACCTGCCAAACATTACTAAAGTAAATCTGGGCACTTTTTCTTCTATCAATGAGTAAGAAAAATGTAAATGTTATTTCAGATGGAAAAATGATGAGCCACAGCGGAGGTTTCTAGTGTCTGCTCAAGTTGATAAATGGGAAAGATATAGTTTTGTAGCCCACAAGTCCAGATCGGAGATAGTGTTGAGTTAATTTTTGACGGTACAGCAGTGTTTACTTGTATAAGAATGGAAGATGGCATCTACATGCCGTGATAAAGCAGTCCAGACAAGGTTATGGCTTAAGGTTATACCCAAAAGGGTAATGGAAGTAGATAAAGGAGAAGAACTACGTCTGAACAAAGATCTGAGTATATTTCAGACCCCAAGTTGTCTTGGGATTTTTTTACATGGTTAGAATATGCAATATTTAATTTATACAGCTCTACAGTAATTTGAAAGTGATTGCAGTACCAGTTTTGGCCACAATCTTGAATACAGCTCATTTAATGCCTCGTCCCTCTGTAGCTAATAATGTTATCCCTTAAACTCAGTCACACAGAGCAAAGAAAGGGTTAAAATAAACCTGACAAGCCCCCTCCTCTCGCTCACACACAGACACTGAGAGACTGGCAAAATTCTGAGATTTTCTTCACATTCAAACCAACATATCTGACTTTCTGTTGGTCGGAGCTAATGACATTGACTAAATTAGAAAGTTGTCTGGCTTGAGGAGTACAAAATACATACCGATTTTTGAAGATAACTGTAGATAAACAATCCCACTTTTGTCAAAAGGTGGCACTACTGAGCCCTTCACCACACCCGTTTCTGAAAATTTGCACGTCTACTGGCTAATGAATGTGTCTAATGAGTTTAATGCAATTTAAAGCAGGCTAAGAGTCTCAAAAGCATCCAAAAAGAATAAAGTTTGATGCGTTTCAGTATTTAAGACAATCCTTTTACAGGTCTACATCTGGAGTGTGTTTACATTATACAGATGAATTTAAGCAAATCGGCTAAAAATAGCTAAACAGCATTTTGAAAGTGACACTTGCTGTTGCCAGTTGGTGGTGCTTTGACTCACAATAGTCACATTCACGTGATCAGCCTCTTACAGCGAACACACTACTAAAGTTTAATCAAGTTAATGTCAGTTAATGTATGCTGAAGTTATAACACACTTCCCATTTCACATTTCTCACCATAAATGTTTCCTCGCCACGGCCAAACCGTTTGAGATATCAAAAATTCCCTGGAAATTTTTCACCATCAAATGTCTTGACTTCACTCTGACCGAGTTTCGTGACATTTGGATCAATTTTCAGGGAGGAGTACTTTAAATTCAACTGCATGCGTTTATCAAACAACCCTAAATAACGGACTTCCTGTTGGGCTGGC